TGAGTGAACACTTGAGAGAGACAGAGAAAACAGTGCTTAAGTATGGACTCTTTCATGAGAAGGTATACAGCCTGATTATGTTGCAAATAAGGACAGTCTGCTAGACTTTTACTGAATTTTACCGTAATAAGCCAACTAAGCAATGGAGAGGTGCAAGTACAGTATCTTCTGTTGAGAAAACTAAAAAAAAGACAAAGAAAAAGAAGAAGAAAAATATGTGGGCCCAGTGGGATCAATCACTTTAAAGCAATAAAAGGTTTTGGTAGATGATCCAGTGGTGGTGACTGGAAAGCAAAGCAGAAGAGGCATTAACACGGTGAAGCGAAGGTATTTATAAACTGAGGTGAAACATTTGTGAAGATTGCTTTGCAGAGCTTTCTCAGCCTCGTGACTGCACAGCAGACAGCATAAAACTCTGCTCTTCTACTGCCAAATCAGGATGGTTTATGAAGTCACTTACTTCTGTCAAACATCTGCAGCTGTAATGCTGAGAATGGACATTCTCCCCTCCTTTCCCTTTCTGCAATAAGATTTAATGTCTGTGTGATTGCTGAGCAGGAATAAGGGCTTGTAAAATTTTTTTTTTAAGGGATAAATTAGGCTCCTTTTAACTGTGATTTGGGTAGTAGGTGGGGAATTTTGTTGACTATGAGATAGAAAAGTATCTCTTTCCATTGGCTGGAGGAGTAAATTTCCACGTGAATTTTAATTTTTTTTTTAATTTGTTAACATGTCATCAGGAACATCATCAGCTGAATACTTTCCAAATGTGGTTCCATACTCTGATCGATTTGCCATATTTCATGTTCACACTTTAAATGTTACACTGGTTTCATTCTCTCAACTACAATTACGGCTACCTCAAAAAAAACTTACTCATTGGTTCTTGGTGTGAACGCAGACAGCTGCCCTGGGTTGAAATTTTGTATGGGATGTCTTAGCTTAGGAGTTATTTGGAAATAGTAAAAAAGTGCCATGAAGGTCCAGCCAGCACTAGATACCTGCTTTCTTTTTTCAAGTGTGACTCTGTCCCTGAAGGGAAGAGGGAAAAGGGCTCTGCTGGGAGCACAACACGGTGGTGTTTGCTGAAATGTTGTGATCTCCAGGGCAACGCTGAGCATAACAGCAGGCAGCGAATAAACAGAGGGAATGCACACAAAGGTGTTATACACGTTCCTACCCCGGTCTCTAGCGAGCGTGCACCCACTGTTGGTGGCACCACCCATCAAAGGGAAGGACAGAAAGCTGAAGAATTCCTCTGAAAGGAGAATTTTGGCTCTTTTTCTAATGGTATCCTCTTGGAGGGGAGACATGAAGGCAGCAGAGAGGCCGGGGGAGGAAACCTGTGAGGAGGCAGCTGCAGCTGCAGCCCTGAGATTGCCCCACTTTGCAGAGCACAAAGTGGTGCCACCAGACCTACACACTTTCGTGTGACAGCCACCCGCTGGAGCCCTGGCCCCTGCTGCCCCAGCTGCAAAAGACTGCTTTGTTATTTCCCGCCACTTAGACTTTTTACAGTTGTTTCTATTAGTTCACTCCATCTGCTCTCACACACAAAAAATACCCCATTATAAGGCCTGATTTCCAGTTCCTTCAGCAATGCATTAGCCTCAAGCACAAATGGTTTTATCTCCAGTTTAATTAAAAAGCCATTTAAAAGAAAAGCTTCCCCAAATAATCTCTATACCCTCACTTGTAGGCAGCTCAGTGTGTTGAAATCCTGGCCTGAAGATCAATAGGAAGATCCCATTGACATCACCAGGGCCAGAATCTCAGCTATGCTGTCCAGGTCAAAGCTCACTTCATCAGTGTTGCTAACAGGGTTGGCATCAGGAAAATTCTGAAAATAAACAAACAAACTAACCCCTGGCTGATTTGAACTCTGTCAGGTCACATTCATGTGTACAGAAAACTAATGAGGAAATTGCAGAGGAGTGAAAGTATTTGGCAGATAATTTTCTCCTCAAGCTTCCTAGAAACTAGCAAGTCCAGCCACAGTTCCACCACATTGGACAGGTTCCCTTCTGGATGGCTCAAGGCTTCCAGAGATTTCTAGCTGAAGAAACACAAGGCCCAGAGACTTGGGGGAAATTTAGGCCTTCTGAATATCACTCTTCACATCTTCGTACAAGAACTAGTGTTTATGCTGAAAATTTCCAGAACTCTTTCTTTCCCAAACATTCCCACTTAAAATGAATATTTTGATTCATGGTCATTTAAAAAGAAAACATTGTTAAATTCTTTGAAATTCTGGCTAGAAATCCAAGAATCCCTTGGGAATTCATCTTGCATCAGAATATACAGCACAGGTTTTCAATTCCTCTCCCTGTCCTCAAGATGACGGTGCAAGGGAATGGGAGGGCAATGGGTTCTGAGGCCCTGAGTCTGCAAACACTTTGGGTATGGTTTCATGCCTCAAAGTGCTCACATTACTGTGGTTTAATAAGTTACCACCCATCAGCTGAGCTGTGGCAACTGCCTGTGCACATACAATTAGCTCACCCTAATTGCAAAATGTGCAACTCACCCGCTTTCAGGAGATGTGTGCAGCTGCACATTTATCTCAAATTACCCCTTGGCACGTTTGCTGTGCAAGGTCCCGTTTCATTGTGCCTTAATTGAGATGAGGAGTGCTAGAAGAGAGGAGCATCCAACATGTCCCTGGGATGGGCATTCACAGCTCTCCTGGCCTTGGACATGCCCCTGGGGTGGGCATTCACAGCTCTCCTGGTCTGGGATGTGCCCCTGGGGTGGGCATTCACAGCTCTCCTGGCCTCGTGGCCTCGGCAGGCTGGCAGTGCCCTGCCAGGGTGAGCAGCCCTTGAGCCAGGGTGCAAGCTGCTCTCTGCAGTGCTTTGTGTTTGCTATGCAGCTGGTGAAATTTAGAGCATCAGAGAGAAGAGCCTACATTCTGCCTCCCTGCCCTCGACACATGCAAAGGGCCCTGCTGTCACCAGCTCAAGTGCCACACACACAGTGCTGCCTCACCTAAAAAAGCTCAGATTTTAATGCTAGGATATTCCACTTTGGGTTCAGAAGGAGAACAAACACTGCTTGCACTTCTGTTATTCCATATACCCACCCCAACATCCTACACCGAAGCACTTTTGATTCAGAGCTCTCTGTGACACCACCCAGTTCAGCACCCAGTTCAGCACAACTGCTTGTGCCTATGATCCACAAAATCAGCCTCTTTGCCTGGTTATGTATTTACATCTCCTGCTACCAGGTTTTTGATGAAACAGCTTCCTCCTCCTTATCAGTCCTTTTGGGCTTGGATGACTCAAATCCTTGCCCACGTGAGCAGCCCTTGCTCGAGCACACACACTGTTGTTTCAGCTGGATCTTCCTACAGCAGCATCTAAAGGATCAGGATGTTTCCCACCAGCACGCAAGGTTTCAAACATGAGATACCCCTGCAACAGCAGGGAACTAGCGAATAAGAAACTGAACCAGCAAGGAAACTCTGAGCATGAATGTATCAACAATTCCATCTGATAAAAGTATCCCTCTATTGTATTCTGCACATGAGGCTCAGCTTAATAAATGAGGCAAAGTAGTCCAGGAAAATAGAAAACTTAAATAGTAATGCAACAAAAATGTACATATACACCTTTTCATGGCATATGGAGAACTACTTGGATTTTGTTTCCAAAATCTAGGATGAAATTTGAAAACTGAAAAAAAGAAAGTAGAAAAAAATTTTTATGAGTTTTCACATGGATATTTTTTCTTAAATAAATCTCATGCCAACTGCCCTGCATTTTTTTTTAGCTGCTTGAAACAGTTTGAGATTTATACCAGAAAAGAAGACTGGAACCCTTTTTTCCAGAAGGTGTTGGTTTTACTCTTACCAGTCTTAACATTTAGGTAACCTTTCCATACCTCTGTAGCACGTTTCATCTGTCATTCACCTTTGAGCAGCACACCTGAGCTCATGAATCCCTGCTCTGAGATTGCTTTAGCCTTCCAAATTCCTGACCAGGTTCAAAGAAGCAGAGCTCCTTGTTTGTCAAACATTAAAGTATATTTCCTTCATCGTCAACTTCAAATACTCAGTGCCAGACTAAATGTGCAATATCTGACAGGTGCCCACAGCTAGAAATAGAAGGTTTTTTATAAATTTTAAGCTGAATATTGCATGCTTAAGGGTGACTGTCACTTTGAAGCTCTCCAGACAGTTCAGAGGTTGCTAAATCTGTGTTATGTGCAGACTTGCAGATGCTAAGAAAATGTCACATAAAGAATCTAAAACTTCCCTAGGAAAACTTCTTTAGGAAAACTGATTTTATAATTGCATCACACCACAGAATGTTCTGGTTTCTTCTTTAGCCAGGTTTGTGGTCATTAGAGAAGGTCAGTGTGCAACAAGCGCTGTAAAAGGCAGTGCCATCAAACCAGCAAAGGAAGGAAAGAGTTGTCAAAGTTTGGGTTTTTGCCAGTCCATCAATACCTCCCTTTTGGACAGGCATAATGTGAAAGTTTTTAATTCCGACCCTTTGTCTGGAGGCTCCTGCTGAGTGTCCACCCCAGACAGAGAGCATACCCAGGACAGAGAACGTTTCCCGAAGGAGCATCCCTGTGACCTTTAGTGCCTGCCGCACGGCGGCTCTGCGGAGGAGGAGCTGTGGCACACAGAGACAGCAGCTGAGAGATGCTGCCCTCGCTGGGCACAGCCGCAGGGCACCCCGGCTGCCACAGGCCTTTGCCATCCCTCCCACGGGCAGGACAAGGCCAGGCCTGGACTCAGCCTCCAGATGGGAATGGACAACCCAGGAAAGGTAGAGACAGCAATACTCGGGCTCTAACCAGCTTTGCACGTTGCTGCCCAGCTCTGCGTATGGTGCTACGTAACTTCAATGCCTGGTGCAACCTTGTTTGCCCAGGATAAAACCAGCAGGAACTGGTGTGGGATCCGGGCCAGTGCCCTCCGGGGTGCCTCTGGCACCGGGATGCGCAGGCGGGCGCGGCTCCCGGGGTGACAGATTAGGGCTGCATCGATGTCCATCAGCGATCGCCATGCCGGCCCTGCTCCGGCCGGGCCCCGCAGCGCCGCGTCCCGCCCGCCCTCAGCGCCCCCGAGTTGCCCTTCCTGCGGCCGCCAGCGGGTGGCGCTGCCGAGTCACCGACGGGGCGCGGCGGGGGCTGCGCGGGAGCGGAGCGGGAACGCACCGGGAGCGGGAACGGAGCCGGGAATGCACCGGGAGCGGAGCGGGAGCGGAGCGGGAGCCGGGTCTGGCTCGGCGGCCCCGTCGTGGGTGGCGGGAGGCGGCGGAGAAGGTGAGAAACTGGGCGCGGAGCGGGCGCGGGGAGGGAGGAAGGCGAAGGTGGGAGGAATTAAAAGCGGAAAAAGTGATGCTGCCGCGGGGGCTGCGGAGGGCTGAGCGAGTGGTGGGAGGCGGGGCTGGGCCGCGGAGGTATGGGATGGGATGGGGTGGGATGGGGTGGTGGAGGAGAGGAGGGGAAGGGAGAGTGGAGACAGGGAAAGGAGGGAAAGGAAGGAAAATAAATAAATAAACAAAAGGAAGAAACTTCTCCGTGCGTTTTCCCCTCAGTTTTTTCAGAAGGTCAAAGCAATTAAGCAAACTATCCCTATTTCTTATTACTATTAAATTTCCACCCACTTCCCCGCTATCTGCAGGGATTGAAAGTGCAGGAACTCAAACGCCGCAGGAAGGCTCTTTTCCAATGCAATGTTTGCTACACTCCCCAGAGCGCTGGAAATCTACACCAAGCGACAGGTTTCTTTTTTTTTTTTTTTAATCACACGGTTACTGTGGTGATACCTCAAGCACAACTCTGCCCTCGCTAGTGGCAGCATGTACCAATATAGTACCTACATCCTCTGAGGAGTCAAAAATGACACCAGTGAAGAGGAGCCTGAACTAGACTTACCCAGTAGGACTGTGCAGCTTGCACTGTGCCATGGCATCCAACAGGTACGTTCTGTCTTCAGAGTCACACTCAGGGGCTCAACCCTTGCCAGCAGCTTGAGACTACACAAAATGGAGTATCACTGGGCATTCCTCATTTTAGTGGTAGTTCTGGAAATGCTGAAAACTTTCTGCATACAACCAGGTGAGGGAAAGGTCCTTAGGGCTGCAATAATAGTCTTTAACCCAAAGACTTTACTTCCTTGGCTGATTTTTTTGTTTTGTTTTTTTTTTTTGGGGGGGGGGGGGGTTAGGTTTTTTTTTTTTAGGAAATCATATTATCCACCTTTTCTTCTGTTCCCTTGCACTGTCCCTTGGAAGGCTGTTAATATTGCAATGTCCAAGCCCTGAGTTATGTTTGGCCCCTGCCATTGCGCACATTGTGGAGATGGCCACAGTACTGCCAGGAGACACAGCAACACCCACGTGCAGCTGAAGGAAAATTACAATAACCACTTTCCAAAGGAATCTGCTAATCATTTTTGTTTCACCTTTTCAAATAACTGCTGGTGACTCAGGCTTGACATGGCCCCCATTATCTTCACACATAATTAAGCAATTTATACCTTGTATCTGTGGGTAGACGCTGCTGTCAACACTCAGGCCGGTTCTGGAAATGGCTGAATTGCTTTCCTGGGGAAAAAAGAACTAATAAACAACAACCACCTCTTGCTTTCTGCCACCTTTGATTAAATAATCTTAAATAAGAAGGCTGTACAGTAGGGAAATTTGCTTGTGTGGGCCATTGCTTTTGAAGCTGATGTGACAGCTTGCTGCACGACTCTGTACGCGTTCTTCCATTTCATGGTGATGAATGCAAGAGATGAGTGGAGCGAGAAGTTCTTCACTTTTGTTACTCTAAATTGATAAAATAAGCTTTTTTGGCTCTGATGTTACACTGATACCAGTGTTTCACACCTTGGCAGTCTGAAAGTGGCCATAGTGTCTACAGCATGGACTGAGGAGCCCCAGAGTGGACTCCTACAAACGCAGAGTCTTGCTGCCACCGCTCCCACTGCAGCATCAGTGTCAGAGGGAGCAGGGAGAAAGTCCTGCTGCCCTCATAGGTTACCATTTGTCTGTGTTAATAGGACATTCTGAGTAATACACGTGTTATCTTCAGTTTTCTGAACTTTTCTTGCATGGTCAAGGTTGTCCCAAATATATCTATTGTCAAGGAGCCCTGCAAGAGCCCAGGACATCTTGACTCTGAGAGGGAAACTTGTGCTGGGGGTTAAACAGGCTGCAGTGTCCAACCAGACATTTAGAAGAGATCCAGACTATGTAACACATGGACATAAATTAAACTGGGGAAAAAAAAAGAAGTCAGACTTGTGGAATTCTCAGTTAGAGGTGAAAAACAATCTTTGTTCTTCTCTTCCCCACAGTGAAATAGGATGGTTTCTTTCATAACTGCACCATCCAAACCACTTTTTAGACTCATGGCTTACTTCCATTATTTTAGTAAAGGTGTGTCTCCTTCTGCATGTAATATTTGAAATAGGGGAGACTAGGTAGCACTTTCCAGGCTAGCTAGTCCATAACCACACAGAATGCTGTAATGAAAGAGTGACTTCTCAGTCTCATGCAAAGGGAAAAATTTAACACAGTTAAGAAAATGCAGATGCAACCCACTTATTGGGGGGATTTTTCCAGTTGTTGGATGCTGCAGATGGTGGAAGGGTCCCTCCAGAAAATATTGGTTTGCTCTTCATCCTGGCACATGCTGAACTCATCTGCACAAAGCAAAAGGAGACACTAGAATTAAGTCAAGGAATCAAACAGTTTTTCATAGAAAAGCTCATAGACCATTTCTCCCCCATTTTTCCCACTTTTTTTTCTTTTTTTCAAATGAGAAAAGCAGTTATGTTAAAAACATCATGGGGAGTAATTCTGAACTGGCAGAGAGATGGGATAGATGATTGAATAGATTCTTTCCATCTCCGCATTTTGTGATCTATGAACTCACCTTTGGGAAACTTTTCTCATTTCAGACTTGAGTTTCACTCCCCCAGGGTTGTCTGAAGAAGGTGAGATATTTAACCTAAGCAGCATTAACACTACCACTGTGTTTTGGCTTTAAAAGCTAGCAAGATGTCTCAGCCTGAAGAAGCCATCACAGCGTGACTCCTCTCTCTTTGCGTTCTTCCTGGAGGCCTCTCCACAATAATTTCTGCTGGTGCTTCACACTGCAAGCCAGAGGTGCAGTCAGCTGGATGTGCTGTGGGGCACATGCATCCTAAGGTGTGCTGCACCATGTCCCTTGGGACTTCCTTTTGCTTCCTGGCTTGTTCCTCACAGGCTGAAAGCTCGCATGAGGGACACCAGTTAAATATGGTATTCAGTTTTTAAGAAAAAGCCCATCTGCCTTCCCTGCAGTGGATGGTCCTCTTGCCAGGGACTGTCCAGAGAAACCATGCAGCTCAGTGCTGCTTCCAACACTAGGTTGGTGCTTAGTGAGCATGGCAGTGTCCTCAGCCAGTAATCCCTTTTAATGGGGCTCATTGTAATGCAGGGGAACTGGGTGACACGCATCCAAGTAATTGTTTTAAAATGAGGAATCTGCAGAGAAGTCCACTTGGGACCTAATGGCTCATAGTATAGCATTTTTTTTTTGGAGAGCAAACAGCAAATTAGGGGAGAGCCTTCAAAAATGAAAGGTGTGGAGGAAAGGACTGGAGTCGCTAAAAGCAGTCCAAAGCATTTGACCAAGCACCTGGGAATGAAGAGTGAGAATAGTTTGTAGGAGTGACAGTCTGTGCACATGTGGTGATGTGCTGATGATATTGTGAGGCTTGCAGAAGGATCAGGGAGATCCTCAGCTATAGAGCAACTGATTTTCCTCTGGCTTCATTCCCATAAAAATCACTTCTGTCACAGTACCCAGGCATTGCTTCTCCTAGGTTGGGTTCTTCTGGGTGGTTGATTTTACTCCAAGCAGCTGCATTTATAGCCAAAAGCCCACGATCCAGAGTAATGTTTAATTAAGTTTACAGCTCAGAGGATGTAAGGAGGAAGTAATATGGATATCAGTTCAGGAAAAAAAAAAACCAGTAACCTGGAAACAGAGACATAAGAGGACATTCACCCATTTCTGCTAGAACAGTTTACCATCACATGGTGCTAAGAGGACAGCATCAGGCTGATATCCAGTGGTCTACAGGTTTTCCTTATATTCTTATTAAACTTTCCAAATTAGAGACAGTGCAAACTTATGTAAATAACAGTATGTAACACATAACTATTTTTGATGTAAAAAAGGCTCTTGGTGCCAAGAAACAATTAATATTTGAAAAAGAAAAACCTCAGAAAAATCTCATTGCATTTATATTTCTTTTCAGGCTGGAACTTTATGGCTTGGAGAATGGATACACTGACCTTTTGCTGGTGTATGCTTCAGCTCTTGCCACAGGCATCTGAGTGCAAGGGAGCTCAGCTGTCCTCCCCAAACCCCTCCACATGCAGACTCCTGTGATCAGGAGCCTGTGCTGGTCTTGCCACAGATTTCCTGTGCGGTCTTGGATAGGAAGGTGTCTGTGTGCCTCAGTTTTTCCATCTGTAAAATAAGAACGATGTTACACTGCTTCACCAGTGCAGCTAAATTTCTGCTTTAAAAGCACTCTGTGACCTTTGGGTGAATGGTGGTAATGAGCTGTTTGCCTTATTTATAAGTATCATTTGCTGTGATATAAATATTTTTTTGTATTGTTCATACTGTGTTTATTTTGTGCAAGTGAATACAGTCCCAATGAAAGCAGGAGACCAAGTGTTTTGCTTTCCCACGTAATTCAACCAGCATTCCCAAATTCTGATCTCTAACACCTCTGCTATTGCAGTCCTGGGCCTCTCTTGAGCAGAAACTGCTGATCATGCCAAATTCTCTGGTGTTTTGTAATGTGGGCTAACATGGGCTGAGGTTTGGATGAGACCAATAGACTCATTTTCACTTAGGGCCTGCAGCAGCACTGAAGCTGGAGAGAACAGAAGTGAAAGGTCAGTGTTTCCCTTCCCGGAGCCACACAGCTCCTGTTTGAAAGCAAATAAAAATATAATATGACTCCTAATATTTATAAATATTTTTGATAGCTTTAGTGCCTTTCTCCCAACTTTACACCAAGAGGACATCTAGATGTTATTACTTTTATACATTTGCATTGTTTCTTGGAAGGTTTGCTTGAAATAAAAACAACTGTAGACCTATTACTTCTCTCATTTTTCTGATTTTGTGTGTCTCGGGTTATGTGTAAAGTGTTAGCCAATATTTAGTTGGCTTTCTGAACAAAGTGGGTGAATATGACCATGCACTTTGAGAAAATAAGGTCTGAATAGACCTGGATAAGCAATTAA